GGACAGTAGAAAATGAAAATAATTCAGAAAAGTAATTGTTAGTTGCTGTAATAAGAACCATGAAAATCATATAAACGGACCGGATAATAAACATTGAAAATAAATTTCCTAAAGTAAAAAATGATGAAAATAGAGTGAGCGCCATAATTTGCAAAAATCAAGAAAATCATATAAACAAATTGAATAATATAGAAATAAAATTGAGATGGATGATGGATATGTAACAATGTATAAACATGAGTGAGCATCCTTTTATTTTTGAGTGAGTAAGCATTAAACAAAGGTAAATGTTATTTAATTTTGAGTGAGCAAACAATAACCAAATGTAAATGTTAGTGAATATATTTGATTAACTTTTAAATTTTACTATCGTTAATTTTACTTAAGACGCCATAGACCATTCATGATGAGGGTTATTCTCCTTGTACAGGTGCCCTTCGGGGTATAGTCTAGTGGTGTAAAGGACAGGAGTGAGGTTATCTCACGCCTTGCTGGCAGCCGCAGTGTGGAGGTTCGATTCTTGAAATATGAAATTGGACTCCTTGTAGGCGTAGTGTAGGCAGCTCTTGTTCCCTAACCTGCTGGGCACATTCCTTGATTTACCTCTCTCACAAAACTTTAAAAACGGAACGGCGGAGATCCTCAAGGTTGGAGTTCAACCTTTTTTATTCTTCTTGTATAAGTGATTTTTTGTTGGATGGTATAGAAGTACTGCACTAGTGGCACCCGATTGACAGTTTGTTTACTTCTTCAGTTATTTTTTTATTTTTTTTCAGCCGTCAATGAAAAATCGACAAGTTGTGCTGTATATTTTTCTCGTACATATAACACTCTCTCATCATGATACCGCAAGTTGAGCCAAAAGTTCATATATAAAGGGGGGGAAAAATGTAAAACACTCTTTAGCAGTCCACAGTGGGCAAACGAAAGACCAACACGTCTCTAGGAAAACCTCAAGCCTTCTCATCAACCCCCGGAGCTTAAAAGGGCGACACAAGTTTCCAATTCAAACCCAAACTCTGTATTATCCCTTCTCCACGTACGGGTTCACAAATGCCTATAAAGGGATAATCTTTGCCTGTTCAAATGAGAGGCTATTTCCTTTTCCATTTCAATGGCTCTTGTAACCAGAATTCCTTCTCTTTCTGCATCTTGTTCTGCTTCCTCTTCAACTACGAAAACCCAATCAAGAAAATCCAATTCTTTTAGGTTCCCACCAGTTTTCTGTATTAACTGTTCATTACATTCACAAGAAAGTTCGCCTTTTATTGAAAAGCACTCTGTTGAGAGGTACGAAAGCGATAGCTGGCTGTACGAGTACCAGATACATAATCCCTCATCTTCCTCTTGCCCAGTTCCTCCTGATCTAGAATCCATCAGAGATTATGATATAGCATTGCAGCTCCCGGAGCTAAGGAAATTGCTCGAAGTTTTGAGAGAGAAGAGAGAAAATGAAAATAGGGCTCAGAGAAGCGGCCCTGGAAATGTGTTCTTGGTGGGGACAGGGCCTGGGGACCCTGAGTTACTGGCAGTGAAGGCATTGAGGGTGATACAGAGCGCTGATCTATTGTTGTATGATAGATTGGTGTCTAATGATGTGTTGAATTTGGTGGGTCTGAATGCTAAGTTTCTATATGTTGGCAAAACTGCTGGGAACCATAGCAGAACCCAGGTTGGTTTTATGGGATACTTTATGCATCTCGGTATCTTCGTTGTGTTAGTTTGGTGCTTTTGAGAATTGGGCGCGATGGAACTTTTTGAGTTTCGAAGTGGGTATTTGCAAAAGTTAAAAACTTTGATAAATTGAGATCATATTTGTGATTTTAATTTAATTTGATTTTTTTTTTTATTGATTTCTTGTAATTTTGGCAACTAAATTTTGCCATCCCAGGTGAATTTTATTTTTTATATTTCTGGGGATTTGTACTAGAACTTGTATTTAGAAAAATGGAACTCTGTCAAATTTGATTGTAATTATTTCTGTGCCTAATTTTTCCTTCACAATGGGAATTTTTTTAATTTGAGATAGTATTTGGAAGTACAGTTTCGTATGTGTTATGTTCTGGATGATTTCAGTTAAACCGGACTAATTGCAAGGAGAAAAATTCTCCTTTTTGGGTATTTTGTCAAAAATATGGAATAGAATCAGCAGGAGTACCAAGGGATTATCGACATATTTTATTTCCTTCTTGTAGTAGAGGTAGTTAAATGAACAATGTGCTTGGCGTTTAACATATAAGATGAAAAATCGAGATTGTTTGTAGGTAATGTGAAATCTGACCAAGTGTTGTCTTTTACCATCTCTGTATACAAGGTTCTTACTTAGCGGAAAGTTGTGCTAATGGTAGAGTGTTTCTGCAGGAGGAAATTCATGAATTGCTTTTGAGCTTTGCTGAAGCTGGGGCGAATGTAGTGAGGCTGAAAGGCGGGGATCCATTTGTGAGTTTTGATGTTTACATGTCGAAATTATATAAGCATTTAGATGCAATCAATTGAAATGTTTTAGTGTTTTTAATAGAAAATTTCATCAATTCATGGAAGAGTTGAGTAAAGTTCCATAGCGCTGTTGTTATGAATTAGATAGTGGACATTACTGATTTTGGTTCATCAGGTATTTGGAAGGGGTGGAGAGGAGATGGACTTTCTGCAACAGCAAGGAATTGAAGTTAAAGTCGTTCCAGGTATGGTGATTATGAAAACAAGCTCACAATATCTGAAGCGTTCTTTCTTCTTTGTCTGTTTGTTTGTTATTTTTCCCTTTTGAGTTTGAGCAATGCAAATTTAGGTAGAACTGTGGTTACACAAACTATTCCTTTTTTTTTTTTTTTGGGTGGTGGGTAGAAGATATTTTTTATTTTTTGCGTCATTGATCTTGGAAGAGGGCACATGCCAATTTTGTAATAAACTAGTGAATTAAAGAATACAAAATATACAAAAATGACTACCTATCCAGCTATGATGCTCGGACTCTTGTGTCGACACGACATAACTGGATATTGACACGGGATATGGATCGGATCCTTGGTTTTGCACCCGCACAATTTGGGGAAGACGATGGCTTAATTTCTTGATTTTTGGCTCTGTTTCTCGATTTCTACTTTTGGGCTTTCAGAAAGAAGATAACAGGTTGGGGAAGATGATGGGTTGAATGGGCTTTAATTTCTCTGCCCTAATTGATTTCAAAGTGCGCTATGGATGTGTTATCCAATGCATAGAATTAATTAAATTACAATTATTTTATCGGGATAAGTTATATGGTCAAATCCATTTAATTTAATTTGATTTTATTTTTGTATTAATTTTTTATTCTTGTATTTTGTATGTGAAGTTTTTATTTTGTAATTAAAATGATTTAGTGCTATATCTTTTTTTGGTATTAAATTTAAAGTTATTTCTATAATTGTTTTGAAATAATATATAAGCATTGAAATTGATATATTTTTTATTTTTTAAAAAGAATTTATTTTGGCTTTAAATTTAAATTGATTTCAAATTGTAATCCAATTGTTTAAATTGATTTTATTGAGAGTGTTGATTAAACAAATTAAACTACGAGTTCATTTTTTGAAAGCCAATATAAGTTAATTTGTGGTTGCTTTAATTGAACTATTTTTCTCTTTGTTATTTTGGTATCATTCTGTTATTATTATTATTATTTTTTTTTTGAAAAAATATTTTTTGAGACGTATTCACGTACCTGTATTCAAAATTCAAATCCTTTTTAACCGTATCCTCATATCCTAATTTTTAAAATGAAAAGGGTCTGAATCCTAGAAATGTACCAGCATCCGATACCCGTACTCGAGTCCAAACATCATAGCTATCCAGAATTTGAGAAGGAAAAGGGGAAGAACAATTTCACATTGGACCATGTTCTTTGAACATTGAAGTTCCATCATGGCTTAGTAGGGAGCAATACGTTTTCGATTTGCACTCAGTAGAATTATATTTCACAATAGCTAACCTAGAGGATATCGGGGTCCCCCCTTTTTTTTAATTTTCTAGGTTTTCCTTCTACTTTAAAGGATTCCCTTTTATTTCATACTTGGAGTTCGCATACAGTTATTAGCCTACTTGAAAGGAGGATAGAGTTAGCCCATGCTTGGCTCATGTTTATAAGCTGTTTATAAATATTCAAGTCATTTTTTATCACACATTTCGAGGGATGCACAAGTATTACCTATTTATCCACCTTTCATTTCTATCTATTTATAATAGCAACTGTTTATAAACACTTGTCAAGCATGATTTTAGTTTTTAGGTTTTGACCATGTGTTGGCTCTAGTTTTTGCCATGTTTGGGTATATCTATCTTTTTTTATTTCTTCATGTTAATATGTAAAACAAAAGAGAAATAGTTCAATTTCCTAAACAAATTAATTTTCTGCTTATCCTTCATGCTAGACTACTTTTAGTAGGTATACACATTTTTTTTCCAAAGCTACTACTATTTCCCACATTTCTTCGGATATGGATAAGATGGTGTGAAATGCTGAGAGAGAATTCTCATTATTCTTATTCACTGAAAGAAGGAAAACATACATTTAAATACATACAGGCAGCCAGTTAAGACTCCCAGTAATTTTGGCACATACCAAATTATTTATTTACTAAACTAGGAAAAAACTTATTAGAGAGAAATTAGTAACAACCTACCTAAATTCTCATTTAACATAAAACAATATAAAGCAGCTAAGTATGGAAAATATTCCTAGATTCTAGGATTAACTTTATTTGGAATCCCTACACTCCTCCTCAAGCAGGGTTGTATATGTTGACCATGCCCAGCTCGTTGGTCAGATCATCAACGTTAATCCTAGGTAGAGCTTTAGTAAGGACATCTGCAATTTGAGAACCTGTTGGAACATATATCAGTTTAGCTATCCCATTTCGATTTTCTTTGAGATGAAATGGCAATCTATCTCAATGTACCCTGTCATGGTGAACTGGATTCTTCGCAATACTTATGGCTGCTTGATTATCACAAAATAATTTTAGTGACTTCGTAACACGGAAGTCTAACTCTTCGAGTAATTTTCTTAACCACATTCCTTCGCAAATTCCGAGCGTCAATGCTTCGAACTTTGCTTTCGCATTGCTCCTCAATACAACTGATTGCTTCTTACTTCTCCATGTTACGAGATTTCACCATACATAAGTACAGTAACCTGATGTGGATCTTTGATATGAAATACCACCTGCCCAATCCGCATCTGAGTAGATTTCAACCTCTTTACTCGAGGACTTCTTGTAAAGTAGGCCTCTTCCTGATGTCATCTTAAGGTACCTTAAAATTTGGTTAACAGCTTCCATGTGTTCTTCTGTTGGATTGTTCATATATTGACTTACTACACTTACAAGAAAGCCAATATCTGGCAATTGTGTGAAAGATAAATAAGTTTTCCCACAAGCCGTTGGTATCTTTCCTTGTCAATATGTGCACTATTCTCGGTAGTTCCGATCTTATTTGTTGAGTCCGTGGGAGTATCTTCAGGTTTACATCAAAGCATCCTAGTCTCTTGCAGTAGATCTAGGATGTATTTGCATTAAGACAAAAGTATACCATGCTGTTTTCGTGCCACTTCCATGCTTATGAAGTATTTTAGATACCCCAGATCTTTTACTTCAAATTCTTTTGCTAAGAACCTCTTTAATCTGGATGGGTCATCCTCCAAGTCACCTGTAAGTATAATGTCATCTACATACACTATCAAGATTGCTTTCTTTCCTTCCAGTAAACATTTGATAAAAAGAGTATGATCTACTCGACACTGACTACAGCCACACTTGGTCACTAATTTGGTGAATCTATGAAACCATGCACGAGGTGATTGTTTAAGTCCATAAAGGGATTTTTTAAAGTCTACAGACCTTATTTGTATTTACTTGATTTTCAAACCCCGGTGAAACCTCCATGTATTCTTCTTCCTCCAAGTCCTCGTTGAGAAATGCATTCTTGATGTCGAGTTGGTGAAGTGGCCAGTCCAAGTTTGAGGCTAATGAGAGAAGAACTCGAATTGTATTGAGCTTGACAACTTGAGCGAATGTTTCCTGATAGTCAATTTCGTAAGATTGAGTGTATCCCTTAGCAAAAAGTCGGGCCTTGAACCTTTTTATGCTTCCATTTGCCTTGTGTTTGATAGTGAAAATCCATTTGCACCCAACCAGCCTTTTTCTTGTTGGGAGCTCTGAAACTTCCCATGTTCCATTTTTCTCTAGGGCTTGAATTTCTTCCAATGCAGCTTTTCTCCATTTTGGAACTTTGGGTGCCTCTTGTATGTTTCTTGGAATTTGTACTGTATCAAGAGGAGACAAATTTTCGAAATGCAGGAGATAATCTTTTATATAGAAATTGGATGCATAGTGCACGATCTCACTTATTTTCTCTGTGCAATAGGACAATGCAGATTATTATTTGAATCATCATTTGAAGAGACAATCTCACCCGAGTGAATTTCACTTGGCCTTGGATCCGGTTTAGGGTCTTGGAGTTGCTCCAGGTGTGTTAATTTCTCGATCTCTCGGTCAGTTCTTCCTCTCCTTGAGCAGACACGAAGCTCATTTTGCATTGGTTGTGTGCTTCACAAATGGAGATAATGGAATTGATGGACTCTTGCTGGGTTGATATTGGTTTTCAGTAGTGTGGTATATTGGAGGAATTGCTAGGATTGATTCAATTGGTTGAGATAGAATGGACTCTACTGGTTGTGGTAAAGATTGATCTTCAATGTTATCAATCTCCCAAAATTGAAATTCTTGTGTACTCTCCCCGTGAATTGCAGGTTTAGGGTAGTAAGGTTGGTGTTCAAAAAATGTTATATCCATGGAGTTGTAAACTTTTCCTGTGACTGGTGAATAACACTTGTACCCCTTTTTATTTGGAGAGTATTTGATGAAGATACACTTGACAGATTTTGGGTCTAACTTGCTGCGGTGATGAGGATGAACATAGACAAATACTGAGCAACCAAATATTTTTGTGGGAATTGAAGAAATCACTTTGGTATTTGGAAATGAATGAAAGAGGACTTGACATGGTGTTTGGAACTGAAGGACTCTTGATGGTATCCTATTGATAAGATACGCAACAGTAAGAATAGCCTCAACCCAAAATTGTTTTGGAACATGGGTGGAGAACATGAGTGATCTTGCCACTTCTAGGAGGTGTCTATTTTTCCTCTTGGCAATTCTATTTTGTTGTGGGGGCGTTGATACACGAGTTTTGATGAATTATTTCTTGACACGAGAGATAGTTTCCTAATGTTGCTGAAATTTTTGAATATTTGGCCGACCTCAGATTTTTCCTTCATTAGGAAAATCCATGTGAGTTGGGTGTGATCATCAACAAAGGAAATAAAGCACCTAATACTTGTCAAATTTTTAACTCTTGATGGTCCCCACACATCGCTATGAATCAATGCAAATGGTTGTGATGATTTATAACTTTGGCCAGTTGACATATTTCACAATGAAAGTGCTTCAGATTTTTATTGATGAACAGAGAGATAAACAATTTTTCTAGGTACACAAAGTTTGGATGACCTAGGCGATAGTGTTACAACATAACTACACTATCGTTATTAGAATTACAAAGATTTGCTAACTGACTCTTAAATGACACACAACTTGCTGTTTGAACTTGTCTATCAAGTGAAGAATCATCTCCTAGAAGATAGAGACCTGAACACGCCTCAGCACTGCCAATCACCCTCTCCGAACCCAAGACCTGAAATTTATGCAGATTTGGTGAGAATTCAACAACAGTTTAGATCACGAGTCAGTTCGCTTATTGACAGTAAATTACAATCAAAGTTAGGCCCAAGAAGTATAGAATCAAGTCTCTTCTGAAATTACAACTGAACCTATTCCAACCACTTTAGAGAGGGACCCACCTGTAATACGAACAATATAATTTTCGTGACATGGGCTGTATTTGTGGAACACAGTTGTGTCTCCAGTCATGTGATCTGATGCTCCCGAATCAACTATCTATCTACTAGTTTTCTTTTTATTAACTGAAAGGGCATCCGAGAGTTTACCTTTTTGTGCCAACGAACCTGTCCCGATGATTGAGGATTCTATATTTTGTTGAGAAGATTGGCCGATTAGTTTTTGCAAGATTTCCAATTGTTATTTGCTGAACAAGCTTGACTGGGATACGGTTGGGTTCTCGTTAATTGAGGCCAGGTTTCCACGTCCTTCTTTATCATTGTATGGTTGGGATGGTTTCCAATTAGGAAGTTTCCCATGAAGCTTCTAGCAAGTCTACCTTGTGTGACCCGATCGTCGAAAATGGTTGCACCATGGCCTTTCCTTTTTCCGATGCTTATTATTGTTGGTGAATTGAGTTCCACGGGCGGCAAGTGCACTAGTCTCAAGTGTTGGTATAGTATTATCCGTTCCCATCATCACCTTTTTTCTACTCTCCCCTTGACGGACTTCTGAGAATGCAGTCTGAATGTTTGGAAGGGGTTTTGTCCCCTGAATTCATCGAGGTTTTTGTTGAGACCTAGAAGGAATTTGAAAATACGTTTCTTTTCAACAATTTTTCTGTACCTGAGTTCATCTTGTGGGCAAGACCACTCAGTTTCTTCGAACATGTCTAGTTGTTGCCAATAACAAGTGATTGTATTGAAATAGAGTGACTAAGATCTCCTTGATGTAGGTTATGGAGGAGGGTTTCTATTTCAAACAATGCGGCTGTGTTCTCGTTGTTTGAATAGGTCTCTTTGGCTGTGTCCTAGATTTCTTTTGCTGTCCCGTACAACAGGAAATTTTCTCCTATCTCATTGGTCATGGAGTTGATCAACCATGACATCACCATGTTATTTTCTGTCTTCCAGATTTTGAATTTGGGATCTTCCTTTGTTGGTTGAATAGCTGCGCCGGTGAGGTAGTCATCTTTACCTCGTCTGCAGACGAACATCATGACTGACTGGGACCATTGAAGGAAATTATACCCATTCAGTTTGTGTCCAGTGATTGGGAGAAGAGAGCCTTCTGATCTTCCATTATGGCTTGCAACTGCAGCTTCTGGATTGGAGGTGATCTCGGTAGAACTAGAATGTTGTCTCTCAGTTGCCATGCCGTATTTTGTCATGAGTGGAATTTGGATATTCAGAGTAATGGCTCTGATACCACCATGTGAAATGCTGGGAGAGAATTCTCATTATTTTTATTCACTGAAAGAAGGGAAACATACTGTTAAATACATACAGGCAGTCAATTAAGACTCCCAGTAATTTTGGTGCATACCAAATTATTTATCTACTAAACTAGGAAAAAACTAGTTAGAGAGAAATCAGGTAACAACCTACCTAAATTCTCATTTAATATAAAACAGTATAAAACAGCTAAGTATACCTAAATATTCCTAGATCCTAGGATTAACTTTATTTGGAATCTCTACAGATGGACATACTGGCCAGTGCTCTGCAAATTGGAGCTTTCTGAAGTTGCCTTTTATATAACAGAACAAGTTTTCTTATGACAACACAAAATCCTGATGTCAACTAAATTTAATATCACCTTAAAGAAGTTCATTCTGAGTAATAAATGTGGATATGTGGCAGGTATAACAGCTGCTTCTGGAATAGCTGCAGAACTGGGGATTCCATTGACGCACCGTGGTGTTGCAAATAGTGTTAGGTTTCTCACTGGCCACTCTAGAAATGGTGGGACAGATCCTCTATTTGTAGCGGAGAGTACAGCAGATCCTGATTCCACTCTGGTCGTTTATATGGGCTTGTCAACTCTCCCCTCCCTTGCGTCAAAATTGATGCATCATGGATTGCCACAAGATACAGCAGCAGTGGCTGTTGAACGAGGAACAACTCCTCAACAACGCATGGTGAGATACTTTTCCACGTTTGTTTTCTTAGTTAATAGTTTTGGCTAGGCAACCCAGTTCTTACTCAGACTAGCCATTCAATTTTAATGTAGTTACATGATGAAATGCAAGAATGTGACATTATTATAAATCTCAAGATTTGTTATCTACAAACTGGATTATTTCAATCTCAGGGCCCAAACTTCAAATATTTTCTTTTGGGACAAATGCAAGTCGCAACTGACATTCTGTTTTCAATTCTTACTTCACAAGATCATATATATACTGAACTTTGAACGACTAAAGGAAAATATAAAAGAATTTGGCTTTGCACAATCATTAGCATCATTTACTCATATATATCTACATCACCATATTCTGATCTCCTGTAAATAAGTGGTGAAAACTGCAGTTGAAGCTTTCTTGAAGGTGCATTTTGTTTGACCTCTGCCAGTATCATTTTTCAATAAAATTAGTTGGCCCGTAGAGTCACTATCTGAAGCTCCTAACGTGGTCTTACTAAAAATATTTTTGTTTCGCACCATTGTGGCTCTAGTGTTTCATTGTGTTGTCTCCATTTCTTTGTCGTCAGATATACAGTTTTCCTCATTTAACTTGTAATTTTGGTGAAGTGATAGTTGATTGAAGTTTATTTGCATTCATTTAGGTGTTTGCTGAACTGAAAGACCTTGCTGATGAAATCGCATTAAATCAGCTGATATCTCCGACTCTGATCATCGTTGGGAGAGTCGTTGCTTTGTCTCCCTTATGGCCCCATGTGAAGAAAGAGACTTCTGTTCTTATGGAGGCCAATTAGTCCGTTGGTTCATGGCAACTCGGCCGTTACATTTGTATGTTTGATCTTTGGCCTTTATAGACATTTATGTTGGAGCAAATCTTGTTGACTGGTTGAGAAGGGTATTCAACGTAGTGGAGTTGCTGGCGCTTGAGGATCTGTGCCAGATTTGGATCAAGAATGGTGTTTCTCCATAGATGGATTGAGTCCAGTGTGAATGTTTTAATTTATGGCAGTGCCAAGAGAATCTCAAGTGATGATTGGCTGGTACTTTCGGAATTTGAAGAATTTATCACATCTTTGACTGTCAGCTGAAAATTGCCAAATTTTTCGAAGGATACTGTGCTCTCCCAGGGCTGATGGCTTGAAATTTGCATATTGGTTCATCTTGGTTGCCAAATTTTGTCAAAATAATGTAATTTTTGTTATTATTATAGGAATAGATGCAAGAAGATTTTGTGCAATTGAGTCTGCTTCTTGTTACCTTGATCCTAGTTCAATCTAATTCTTTCAATAATTTGTTTTGATTCTCTTGTGCTCAATCATGGATTTGTAGTTGTTTGGACCGTATTCTCGCAAATGCTGCTTTGCAGTCATTCAACTGATGTTGGACATTGTTGAAATTAAGAGTGCTTATTTATCGCTTAGAAAGTGAAACATGTAACATTAACAAGGATGGATGACTACGATTTAACAGTGTTATAAACATGAAATGTTAGATCATGAATAGGGATGGTAACGGGAATTAAAATATCTTCATTTTTCGTCCCATTAACTTATGGAGCTCTAATCAAATCTTTAAAATTGTAGGATTCTATTCGAAATCCTCTATCTCAAGGAAATGATTTTTGGGCTAGGTTTATTTATTTTTATTTTTAATATTTGCTTTTAATTGATATAATTGCTTGTAGTGGTACCTTCAATAGCCCACATAAGCTGAATTAATTAGCTCTATATTTGATTCATTTGAGGCCTAAATCAATGTTCGGGTGTCCGCCAGTTCCTCTGTTCTTCTTCACGCTAATTGAGATCTGCTATCCAATTTGCTGTCTATTTAATGAATGACTAACACATCTTTCTAAATTAACAAATTCAACTTTTCCCCTCATTACCACTTATGCTTAAAATTAGGCGGCACTTTATTATAAAATGATGTATCAATTATTCATTGTTGAACAGTAAATTTTATATAGCAAATCTTAATTCAAGTGAAGGGGTTCACCATATCCACTTTTGCTTATACATTAATTTTATATTACTTTCCCCATGTTATTTATTTATTTGGTCTCTATTTGGTTTGGCTTATATATTTAATTAAAAACTAAGTCAAAGTTAAAACATTAATATTAACTATAATATTTTTATAAGACTCGTAATTTTTATCAAATTTTCAATCATACATTTCATTAACTTTTATTAGAATACTAGTTTTTTGATCGTGCATTATTTTGAACGTAAAGTTAGCGTCTTGAATGTATGGGATTGACAAGAAAGTATATTACAAAATTTCCACACACCTATATAAAAGAAATAATGTTTCATAATAGTCATTCAAAAATTGAAATGAAGAGAGAGAAGTAAGCATTGTATGAAAAGGCGTCCGGCAAAAGTTCAAATTTACATGACGAAAACAATTTCTATTACAACTTGGAATACAACAATGTATTTCAAAATATAATTTTCTCATGTTTCTTTTTTACTGAACTGGCATAGAAATGAAGCAAAAGCTCACTGCAGTCGAAATAAAAAAAAAAAAATAGACGTTGATTGCAATAATTAGAAAGAGACAAAAAATCAATCACTAAGTAAAAACCTAGAAATCAGTTGGGAACCTAGAATACCATTGGGATAGACGGAAGTTGTTTAAAGGTTAAGATAGAATTTAAACCACTTAGCTGAGAAAAAGAAGAATGCAAGGCACAATAGATATAAATACACACTTTGAAAACTATCAAGGCAAAATCTCATAAATTATGCTCCATGTTGAGTATCTCTGATCGCTCATGTTCTGCTGCCTTTGGCCACAAGGTAAACTTAAAAAGTCTAGCATAAATAAATAGGGGCAAAATCTAAAATACCATCCATTTGGCTATAAATCATATATCCCTCTGATTAACATATTCCAAAGAAACAATATTCCAATAGAAAAGCTGTAACTTGAGACTACTTAGCTACCATAGACATGCTCCTAAAATAATTAACCTGCCCCAATCATCCTACCCAGAACATTAACAATTGTCTGCCAATTTATCATATGATCCTTGTAATCTCCCCCACACCTTTTTTAACTTCTAATAAAAAGGGGGAATGAGAGTCTACTATCGATACAATAGTAAATTAATCCAATTTTATTATATATGATGTCATTTTATATTTTTCATTTTGTTTATGTCAAACAAATATTTTTCCACACATCACGCCACTAACATTAAAAAAATAATTATGTCAAACAAATGTTCTTCCACACATCATACCACTAGCATTAAAAAATAATAATAATTTTAGTAAATATAAACTGCCATGATACTATCAACATCCCATTCTTTGTGAAAGCAATGCCATGATACTATCAACATCCCATTCTTTGCACAACTCACATATTGTTCCATTGTATGAATCACAACAAAGTTCATTTCCAATACCGTAAATATGATTTGCATGCTCAAAAACTGAGCTGTGACTGGAATTTAAAGAAGACATAATTGATTTTGAGCCATATTTTTCGATACTGTTTTGTTGTATATACGAAAAATTTACAATCTTGAAATTTGACTTGTAATTAAGGAATTTGAAAACAACTCTCCGCAATGTGCGAATAGTTTTTCTCTCTCTGTATTGTGCGGAGAGTTGGTTTGTCATCTCTCCGCACTGTGCGGAGAGTTTTTTTTTTACTCCACACTGTGCGAAGGGTTTTTTAACTTTCTGCATATGGTTCAACTCTCTCCGCACTGTGCGGAGAGGTTTTTTTTCTCTTTGCTCTTTTTTTTACTCCGCACATGGTTCAACTCTCTGCACTGTGCGAAGAGATTAACTCTCTCCGCACAGTGCGGAGAGTTTTTTTTTACTCTGCATTGTGCGAAGGGTTTGCCAACTCTCCGCACATGCTTCAACTCTCTCCACACTCCGCACTGTGCGGATGGGTTTTTTCTCTCTGCACCTTTTTTTAATTTTTTATTTTTACTCCACACTTGGTTCAACTATCTCCGAATTGTGCGGAAAGCGTTTTTTTTTTTCAATTTTACAATATTGAATTACACAAAATTTAAAAATATAATCTTCACATTCAATTCAATCATATCAACATTATCAAAGAATACAAGCAAAATAGTTTGTATATTTCTTATTCAAGCATGAAATATACAAGCATATTTTTTCTAGATAACATACTTCTATGCAATTGTAAAAATAATTTGCAATTATTTTCTTATATCATGGAAATATTTTTAGATATTACTTCAAAAATTTTCCAAAAAAACTAAAATTCATACACTAATAAAAATACGATAAATACAAAATTCGTGTAATGCACGTGATAGCGACTAGTTCTAGAAAGAATTGCCATCACTGACCAACCTTCCTATTGGAATCTTGTGTAAAGATTACTAATACAAAGGACTTTGAGCAGCAAACTAATGATTGTAACAGTATTGCCCATATTGGAATAAGCACTTTCAGCTACCTTTGGCATATAGGATTGAACCATAGAAGAAATTATGCATAAAATTAGAGAAGACACTCATAAGTCAATTGTATTAAGGTAAATATTATTTATAAGTTGTTCATTCAAGAGAATGCAACTTGCACCATCTTTCTTGTCCTGCTTAAATTTACCTCCTCTCTCCATATTATATCATCCAATTAGTTTAAGAAAGATGGTGCAAATAACATTCTTTTCAATAAAAAACTAAAGAATATAATCCATTATAAAAATATTTACATAGTATATGTACTCTAATTGTATATTTAATTCCTTATACGGTTTAATTCGCTGTAGCAAACACAACCTTATCGCCATCACTACTTTGATTAATCTTCTCAACCCGAGCTGCATAAAGAAACTACCCTCTTATTGAAATCCAGAAACCATGGGAGAATTCTGTAAGATCACTAAGCTATTTTTGAAACTATTTACTTCATCAAAAAGAAAAGGAATAAGCTACTTGGTTAACTGATATAAGTATGCTATATTGCTCCTTTATTGTAACGATTTAGCAAGTTTATGATTTGACACATAGAATTGGACCATCGAATCACAACCTCTTCCAATCATAAACTTGCTATATCGTCCTCTTGGAACTTTTCTATGATATCAAATTGGCATATTTATTAGTTCTTTCTCATTCCAAGTAATCATATATAAGCGTAAAAGGTAATGTTAAACTATCCCTCCCCATACAAAACATATAAATCCCCACAATCTATTTCATCTTATGCACCCAAGCCCACCACCAAAAAAAGAGAGAATTTTGTGTCCGATGTTAAAAAAGGGGAGGAAAAATAAAAAAAACTCTTTCTAATTTGAATTCCCAAAGAACCAGAACAAAAACCATAAAAAATTATGTAGAGCTGTCAAGAAAAAATAATGTCTTAAATCACTAAAAAGACCCATATATAATTTTAAACACATGCAACTGAATAAAAAGCAAAAGCAAATTACCCCAACAAATTTCGATGGCAAATTACTCAATAATCATCAAAATAAAATATTAATAAATTCAATAATCATTAAAAGCAAAACAACATCAATGAAATTATGAATAATATCAATGTACCTCTTGATGAGCCGATCTCCTGCAACGTTCAGTTGTCGGGCTAATGAGATATTCTTAAGAATATACCTACATTTTTCCAAGAATAAATGAGTAAAATAGAAAAATCCAACATTAGAATTCATTAAACCTTTCCTACAATATTTTGGAAATGAATATTAACCTAAATCTTACTTTTCTCCCTCCAAATTATTATTTACCAAAATGGCACCACCAAAAGTTCCATGCCCTATGTGCACCATGGCCTCCATAATAAAAGTAATGGCCCCAATCTCCATTACTACATGTTTGCATATCATAGCAATTGGATTGTTCAGTGTATGGTTCTTTAGAAGCCTCAAGATTTTTGGAACTGTCAACAACTTGGATATTCTTGAAATAGCCTGACTTGCCAAAACCCTCTTCTGGCAATCGGCCGCTGCCCATTTGAGTCAAAGTGGACTGCCTATCGAGTTGTGAATTTATGACCTCACCACCGCATCTATCATGGAAGCACTGTCTACTAAGTAGGAGAATAAGAAAGATGGCCAATAACCCAATACATAGCCATTGCAAACTGCATCCACCAATTTCCCCCTTTTAGGTCTTAGATAAATTAAAAAGTTATAAAAGAATAATTATAATTGATTTTTTGTTTCATCACAAAACGCATGACAAGTGGGGTAAATTTGGAATTTACCTTCCACAAAAGAATGCAATATCGTATTGGGAATTTCGATAGGATGAGACGGGAGAAATTCTTGTACCCATTGCTATTTGACTGCTGACTTGTATAAACCCAAATAGAGTATATTATAGCAACCGATGGCTCGATATGCATCACTCTATAATTACAAACTGATATTAGGATTTTGCCTGGAGCTTTATTAGCATATAAAGAAAACAAACAACAAAAGAATAAGCTTATAGTCCAGTATGTGTACAATTCTGTGTTCTTATCACCGTAGAGATCAGTGCTAACCTGAAGTAATGTGCATTCTAATCAGTAAGAGGAATGCAACAAATTATGGTCGAACCAAAGATTTAGAAAAAAAATTCCTACCAGCCAGCTTCAATTTGGGACAAACTGAACTCTTTAGGCTGCTGTATTTTAGGTTCCCATACGTTAATAGCTGCTTTTGCACCATAATACTTGTCTCTTTCGACGTATGCTAACGCGTGCTAGTGAAGCAATAAAATTAAGAAAAGGTATTCACTTGATTATAAATAGAAAAGAAAGGAAAACTCAAATAAAGAATGAACATCAAACAAGATCTCATATGGATTCCGAGGAGTTGGAAATTCGCCTATTGATCAATAATGGAGATATTCAGCAACTTAAAGAAAGATTGATTCTTTCAAATCCTTATGACCAAATAGAGTATCAGTCTGAATCCCAAAATGGCTTACGCTCATAAATTTCCCATCTATGTATGAAAAGATTGATTTAGCTGCAAGAGGTCAGGAACAAGTGCTAGGCAGCCGTAATTTTTCTTCCGTGAACGACAATATGACATTTAACGGCATAATACTTTATTCAAAAAAATTTAACCAATCTTCCTAAAAAAAATAGAAAGGCGTCGCAGAATTAGTAAATTGAATAAAATAAAAAACATTTGCCTTTTACAAAGGAGACATAGTGTTGGCCTGAGTGCATGGAATGAGCGAAACCTTACAAATGGAAAAAAAAGAAAAAAAAAAGAAAATTTAAATAATTCTTAAGTTCAATAAGTTTCTTAATTGAAGGTGAAAATTTACCAAAGATATGAACTTTACTATTGCTACATAAACAAGGCCTTCTAATTTCAAAACCATAAACTAGAAATTGAGAAACTCTAGCACAATCATGAGAAAATAAAAGGCAAAATCCATCTATACAATAAGAGATGCAATGTAGAGGAGAAAAAAGCAAGGCTTTACAAACTGAACGTTGATATTTCAGTACAGGATTATGGTGGAGAACGTATTAATGATGAATGCACGACAATTCTTTAATAGATACCTGAATTCCCAGATGAAGCAAGTAGAGAAATTGAAGATTGACCTTTCACAAACCTATATCAATTGTACATAAACAAATATCAATATTATTATTACTATTTTGATAGGTAAAACAAATATCAATATTTAAAAATAAAGTGTCTGAGATGTGCATTTGCATACTGATTGCAAAGTAGAGAAGCCCTAACTTGTTGAATCGTATCAGTCCTCATGGAAAATAAATTGCATATCCACAATTGCCCACCACGTATTTAACACGATTTGGATCAAATGCATCTTCAGATTTCAAAGAAGTAACTGTGGTACTGAACACTGCATTTGGAGCAGCCTGCACAAGTTACGAATCTCATTTCAGTTCCATAAAGTGGCCACAAAATAGACGTATAAACTCATAAAAAGTAGCGTAGTTTTTCTATTTCATAATAACTTTTTGTTAAATACCCACCTTCTTGCATGTAAAGTTTGTGTTATTATCTTATGAGAGAAGAGAAAATAAACTTTTCAGCAAACCACGGAATTACCCAAACCTGTGCAATGGTGAAGATTTCACTAAAACAGAAATAATTTGATAGAAAACAAATAAGATGGGGGTGACTAAGCATCTGATTACTATGAAAGAAAATGTTATTGACTCGCCAGTGCTCAACAATCCATCTGGTGAATTTATATTATTGATTGAATTCCAACACCATACATATTGCACAATCAATGAAGGAAAACAATAGAATTAACAAAAAATATATATATGAAAAACTGAAACTCCAAAAAAAATCGTTACATGCTCATATTCATAGAACACAAGAAAATATCACTGTAAAGGGGTAAAAATATTACCTGTTTGAAGTCACCTTTCCAAGCACAAACGTGAAGAGGAGTCCAACTTCGATCATCCCTATCACCTTCCAACCTACCCAACTGCCTGCTCTTCCTGATTGGTCTGTTCTCAAACTCTGGCATCATTGAATATTCCTTTTTATTCTTTATATCACACATCAGTCTCCCAAAAGTATTTCTAGCCCAGTAATCTTACAAATCTCAACCCACAAATTCACCTTTATCTTCAATGGTCGACCAAAAGGCTCAAATTCTTAACCTTTAACATTGTATTCAAAGGGTAACCAAAAGTCAAGGCTTGCATTTTGCCTTTTCTGTTTTTTCCCAAACAGTATTCTTCAAGTCCAATTGGTTAATAAACAAGAGAAACTGAATAAATGAAGAAAGGGGATTTCTAAAATGGATAGTTAAGTTGGGATCCTCTATTTTTTGAGAGCAGTAAATACTTCATTATATATACTAAAATAAGGGAAAAAATAATTAAATTTGTTAAAAGATCAACAGCGAACTTGTTTCGCGTGGGTAGTCGCTAACAATTAAAAAGGGATCAGACGATTGTGTAAGGAACGGACCTCTTGAGACAAAGTCCCAACAAGAGGTGTTTTATTGGCGATGATTTACAATTGGAAATAGATGGAATGCCTCCAAGGGGCACAAGCACACGAGTACTAAAAGAAATGTTTTAAGTTTAAACTAAGAAATCGAAATTACATATTCTCTGTTTGAGAGTGTTTGATTAGGTCCTTTTCTCTACGTCTTCTCTTCCTTTTATATTCCCTTGATTATTTCTTCGTGGCAAACCGCTTGATTGCTGTATAACTACCCACTTTCTTTATGGTGGCTAACTTGTGTGGAACCGCCGTCTCTAATTGTTGCCATTACTCTTTGTCGTTCAACCGCCTTCACCTGGGCTCCTTGAATCATGGAATGTGATAAGATCACTCAATAACTGTTTCAACAACTGCTATTCTAGATAACCATGATGTTTTATGTCTGCTAAGATCCTGGGCGATTCGAAAGTTTGGGCGAGAACAGGGTCATCACTCTGGGCGACCGTAAGGTACTCCATTCGCTCAGATTCTGGGTGTCTTGCAAGCTTGGGTGATGATGTTACCGTATTCGTGGGCTTCCATCGCATTCCACAATAATCCTGTTTGGACCTTTATCCTGTACTCCCCAATTGAGCTTCACTCTTTGGGCTATTTGGTTTGGGCTGCACTTTTAGTGTGTCAACAATTACCTCTCAATATGGCAGAATTAATACCAATTATTAATCTTTGCCATATTCACTTTATATTTTCCAGCAATATTTGAAATTTCCAAGAATTTCAATCATTATTTCCTTCTACAGCCTAAAAAGGTGCAACGTTACAATACAAACCCTTATAAACCCAAAAGACACGCCATTTTATCGCACCACTAAACCACGTCTCTATATTTCGTGCCTCCTCCTCGCTATTTTACTGTTCATATTCTTGCTTCTCTGCTACGTTTCTTAGACAAACCTTATCAAAATTGTACTTTGTTTCCAATGGCGACTTCCAAACTCAATCTGATGATTCTTTTAGTTTCGAAGATTTCCAAAAAATCCGTACTAGGTCGTATGTAAATCCAAACTTCCTTGCACAAGCTAATGCCGACCTCAATGAATTCTATCTGGGTCCATCGTTTAATAATGCCGAATCCGTTGGACAAGTGGCGGCGGGTCAGCTGTTCCCTTGCACTCAAGGTCCTCCATTCCTGAACTCTCTGCCATTGAGGCCGATTCGCGAAAAATGTATTCACACTTGGCCTAAAGCTGATGTTATTTTTTGTAGATGACATGCACGTCTTGTGAACCATGGCCCCACCAAAGCGATTTTTGATCGTGTTAGGATTTCAGATTATTAGAAATTACTCTTTGACCCTCGATTTTTGACCCAGTGCTTTTTCCTATTGCTTTGAGTTTTTGGTCTTCTGAGTATAACACCTTCGTTTTCCCTCTTGGTCCCATGTCTATTACTTTAAGGGATGTTGGAGCCCTACTAAATCTTCTGCCTTTGGGCGATACCATCTTTCCTGGTATCTTGATTTCCTGCGTTGCCCCGAAATTTGACCAGAAACTTACTGAGTCCTATTCAAGCCTGCAAGGCTTTTATAATCACTCAAGCGCTGAACCTTCCCGTTCTGAGTGTGTGGCTTTTCTTCAGATTTGACTCTGTAGATATATTCTTTGCGTGCCAAGTATGAAACCTTCTATGAGCTACTTACCAATAGCGCATGAATTGGCGCGTGGTAGGCCTTTGAACTTATGTTCCTTCTTTTTAGCCACCCTTTATAGAGGTATGGCTTCCCTTCAGTTTCAACTGAAGAATGGTGCATCTCCCACTGGCAGTAGCCCCCTTTGGTTCACTCAACTGTGGTTGAGAGCATATTTTCCACCATTTGGTGCTCCATCCATTTCCCTTCATTCTCTTAGCTGCTATGGACTAGCCATTGATCCACTGACCCTGTAAATATGTCTAGTAGGGACATTTTTTCATTCTATTATACCTTAAATTTGATTCCTTCTTTCTTTCCTTTTCCTGCTAACTTGACTCCAGATTATGTGCAACCTCCATCCACCCTAGACATTGCGAGTGCCTCTCTGCTTGTTTGGGTTCAGTTTTTGATTGGGAGGGAATTGTTCCACGTTATCTTAACTGGAACCAATGCCAAAGCTGGGGTTGAGATATATGCTCCCCAATTTTTTGCTTGCCAACTTGGTTTTGGCCAAACTTGGCCTGTTTCTCCTTGTTACTCCAAAAGTTTGACAGACCGCTTTCACACTATTAATAAGGCAGAGGCACAAGCTATAGATGCTCGCAACATTCTTTTGACGAGCAAATTTTCATTAGCCCTTTCAATTCTTGCTTTGTTGTCCATCCTTTTTTTGAATAGCTTTGGCCATCAGTAAAATGCCGATTGTTTGCAACTGATGCTAATCATGCTTTCCATTTACTGGACCAGCCAGGCACTCCCTCTACTTCTCCTATTTTGGTCACCCCTGTGTCTATTAGGAATCCTTCCTCCCCTACTCACACTAAACATTCTATCCATCCATCTGCTTCTCTACTTGCCAAGGCAACTGTAGCTAAAGGTGCTTTAAGCAGCAAACGACCAGTTTCAACATCTCCCATTTTGCAGGATGATAATGATGAAGATGATGACGCTCCTCTTATCCTTAGAAGAAAGGTAATTGAATTTGTTTATTCACAAACATACTTTTCTATGTACTAATGGTTTACTTGAATTCCTCAGAAAAGTTCAGCCTCTCCTTCGAAGGCTTTGGCCTTGGCAGCCCCTATTCCATCATCTTCTGCTGAAACTGCTTCGTCCAAATCAGCTGATGAAGGGATTATGCTTAAAGAGAAACCCTTAGTCCCAGAACCTTCATCACAACCAGTAGAAATGTCACCTTTTTCCCAGGGCGCCGACTCCCCAAACGTCGAACCAGAAGGTAATACATATTTTGATGTCTTACCTTTGCTTGTGCTACTGGTTTCTGATTTGTTGCTTCTTGAATTATGCAGAGGCTCCCATGGGCCTGCCCGTTGTTGCAGAGTCTTCTCGCCCAGATAAGGGGAAGTCCCCACAGGTGGTGGAGATAACTGATGATATGCCTGAACTTCCCCAGATTGCTGATGAGGTAACCTTTTGTTTCAATTTCATTTTCGCTTTGTTTATTGTAGTGAAAGTCCTCAATGTTGGCATTTTTCTTTGCAAGATGTTGATGACATTGTGCATTCCATCCAGGACTTGTTTACTTCCTGGGGGCAAGTCAAGAAGTCTCGCCCTACTTCAACTAGTCATCCTTCTGCTTCTTCAGAGGAAAATATGAAGTTTCTCAAGCAGTATTTGGGTACGTGTCTTTCATGGACATGGATATCGGCCAAGTTAGTGCTCCTAAACATAAGGATAAGCTTGAGCTATTGAGTACGAAATTGGCGCAAGCACTTACACTTTCGTCGCTCAATGTTTCTGCTGACTTTAAAGTGTTGAATGTTGTTCACTCTGACATCCTCTCCTTGCTAGCCAAGAATGTTGAACTGAAGGCCAGGAGTACTCAATATCTTTGTGCTGCATCTGAAAGAGAGTCTTTGCTTCTAGAGATTAACAAAGTCGAGGATGAATTAAAAGAAATCTCTTCCAACGTTATGGTCGAAGACTCTTTGATGACAAGTTTGGTTGCAGAGATGAAGGAGCTTCAAGCAAAGATGGACGATTGTAGGGCGAGAATGGCTGCTAAAAAGCGTAATGCTTCCCAAGGAATTGAACGAACCAAGTCTTTGGTTGAGCAATACAAAAAATTGGAGGTTGATGACGATTTTGTAGCTGAATTAATTATTGCTTCTTCTCAGCAGAGCGAAGATTGGGGGAGACTTAGGGAAAGAATTCGTTCGGCCTGGGGTGAATTGTAATTAAAACATCTAATGCCTTAACTTTCCTTTTGTAACTTCGCACTAATTGCCATTGTTAATTTTGAATGTAACAGCAGTTATCGTCATTAATGAACGACTAATTTGTCTACTTGCGTATTAATTGACGTTGTGCTTAATCGTCAACCTCCCAAACATTTAATTGCTTTATGCTAAAATTCATGTACATTCTTCCTTGGTATTTCCGTCTCTTTTCCCAAGACTTTGGGCCATTTGATTTTAGTTATTAGGCACGAATGTGGCCCTTCACATTCTGTCTTTTCACCTTTACGTCTCTATAAATGCGTGTGTATTTCACACTCATCATTTTCATTTCCATTCTTTTCTTCAAAAACTAATTTGCTGCCATCGTTTGGCATCTCAACAATTGATCCAAAATTTTCGTCTTCCATAGAAATGGATCATTTGATCCGCCCATTTTGCTTTTTGTTTTGATATCACCTTTGGTATGGGAGATATATGAAATATTCTTTGGCCAGCAAAGTTTTTTCCATCGTCTCCATGCTCTTTATAAGGAGTTCAATGATGGAAGACAATTTTTGAGGATGCCTTTGAAGCCACTTTGCTTGCTGAGAGTGCTGCTCAGTCTCCTTGCCCGTTATTGCAGCAATGCGATTAGGCAGGCGATATGAGGGTGCTTTTCTTCCTTTTTGCTTGTTGAGAGTGCTTCTCGATCTCTCTGCCTATCCTTGCAGCAGTACGATCAGGATGGCGATCAAGGCCGGTTCACCCTCTTGCTTGGCGATCGATCGAGAAATTAATTTGCTCTCAATTGTAGCTTATAGAGCATTTAGTATTTTGTATCTCACAATTTGTAATGTATATTTGATAATAAAGGTATTTATTTGAACGTATTTCGTTTTGGCCCTATTTATCTACGATCGTTCAGCGCAATTTGATTACAATTTTATTTGTTCATTCTCCCATAAGGAAGGAACATACTTTTTTAAATATTTGCCATTAATGAACCTCATGTGCTTGGTGCCATCTAAATCTTCTAAATGGTAAGCTCCATTAGGCAACACAATATTTACTTTAAATGGTCCTTTCCAATTGGGCAACCACTTGCCATACTTTGGATCCTTACTACCCAAAGGGAGTATTGTTTTCCAAACCAATTCGCCCAAGCTAAATGACATGGC